AAGAGAAACCAAAGTTAATGCCGTTGCAGGCGCCTGTCTTCCCCTACTCAATATAGCACATCAAAGCACGTGTAGTGTCAGGACATCACTTGCGTCATTTAAATCATCTGTTTAGGATGGTAGTTTTGATGAGATATAAGGGTGTCAAAACAACTGTTCAATTGATATGGTAATCAGATTCAAGTTGAAAAAGGCTTAATACCAGCGTAGCTATTGTCAAATAAGCATGGGCTTTGCGACTCCCGTGTCTGGAGGCAGCCATTTTACAATGCTTTTCGTCGATATATAATTTGTCATTGTGGTCGACCTGAAGATCAATGCACTCCTGCACATAGCATTCAAACATCCTATTCTCGTGTGCATGCATTGCAACTACATGGTTGAGAAGGGATGGCGGCTTTGAGCTTGTAAAGAGTGATAAACACTTACAGTGTGCATGTGCTCTAATTAATAGACGATGGAACACTGAGGCGACTGGTTACCTCCACTTTCGTAAATATTCTGGAACTTCTATTTTTTTGGTATTGGAAATATTAACCCTGTCAATTCAGGGCGTAAGAAATTAGTCATTAGACTCATTGTGATGTTCCTCTCCACGGAAATCTTTAGTAAAGGCGAAAGATTTATCCGAATGGATGAAGAGAAACCAGAGTTAATGTTACAGGCGCCTGTTTTCCCTACTCAATATAGCACATCAGCACGTGTAAGCAAGTCAGGACATCACTTGCGTCATTTAAATCATCTGTTTAGGATGGTAGTTTTGATGAGATATAAAGGGTGTCAAACAACTGTTCAATTGATATGGTGATCAGATTCAAGTTGAAAAGGCTTAAATACCAGCGTAGCTTGTCAAATAAGCATGGGCTTTATGACTCCCGTGTATGAGGCAGCCATTTTGCACGTTGGCTCGTCGTGATATATAATTTGTCATTGTGGTCGACCTGAAGATCAATGCACTCCTGCACATAGCATTCAAACATCCTATTCTCGTGTGCATGCATTGCAAACTACATGGTTGAGAAGGGGATGGCGGCTTGAGCTTGTAAAGAGTGATAAACACTTACAGTGTGCATGTGCTCTAATTAAAAGACAATGGAACACAGAGGCGACTGGTTACCTCCCTTTCCTAAATATTCTGGAACTTCTATTTTTTGTATTGGAAATATTAACCCTGTCAATTCAGGGCGTAAGAAATTAGTCATTAGACTCATTGTGATGTTCCTCCCTCCTTCAGAGGTGACTGCTACCCCCCTTTCGTAAATATTCTGGAAATCTTTACTAAAAGGCGAAAGATTTATCCGAATGGATGAAGAGAAACCAGAGTTAATGTTTACAGGCGCCTGTCTTCCCCTACTCAATATAGCACATCAGCACGTGTAAGTGTCAGGACATCACTTGCGTCATTTAAATCATCTGTTTAGGATGGTAGTTTTGATGAGATATAAAGGGGGCAATGTCAAAACAACTGTTCAATTGATATGGTAATCAGATTCAAGTTGAAAAAGGCTTAATACCAGCGTAGCTTGTCAAATAAGCATGGGCTTTGCGACTCCCCGTGTCTGAGGCAGCCATTTTGCACGTTGGCTCGTCGTGATATATAATTTGTCATTGTGGTCGACCTGAAGATCAATGCACATCTCCTGCACATAGCATTCAAACATCCCTATTCTCGTGTGCATGCATTGCAACTACATGGTTGAGAAGGGGATGGCGGCTTGAGCTTGTAAAGAGGATAAACACTTACAGTGTGCATGTGCTCTAATTAATAGACGATGGAACACTGAGGCGACTGGTTACCTCCCTTTCGTAAATATTCTGGAACTTCTATTTTTGTATTGGAAATATTAACCCCTGTCAATTCAGGGCGTAAGAAATTAGTCATTAGACTCATTGTGATGTTCCTCTCCACGGAAATCTTTAGTAAAGGCGAAAGATTTATCCGAATGGATGAAGAGAAACCAGAGTTAATGTTACAGGCGCCTGTTTTCCCCTACTCAATATAGCACATCAGCACGTGTAAGTGTCAGGACATCACTTGCGTCATTTAAATCATCTGTTTAGGATGGTAGTTTTGATGAGATATAAAGGGTGTCAAAACAACTGTTCAATTGATATGGTAATCAGATTGAATTTGAAAAGGCTTAATACCAGCGTAGCTTGTCAAATAAGCATGGGCTTTGCGACTCCCGTGTCTGAGGCAGCCATTTTGCACGTTGGCTCGTCGTGATATATAATTTGTCATTGTGGTCGACCTGAAGATCAATGCACTCCTGCACATAGCATTCAAACATCCTATTCTCGTGTGCATGCATTGCAACTACATGGTTGAGAAGGGATGGCGGCTTGAGCTTGTAAAGAGTGATAAACACTTACAGTGTGCATGTGCTCTAATTAATAGACGATGGAACACTGAGGCGACTGGTTACCTCCCCTTTCGTAAATATTCTGGAACTTCTATTTTTGTATTGGAAATATTAACCCTGTCAATTCAGGGCGTAAGAAATTAGTCATTAGACTCATTGTGATGTTCCTCTCCACGGAAATCTTTAGTAAAAGGCGAAAGATTTATCCGAATGGATGAAGAGAAACCAGAGTTAATGTTACAGGCGCCTGTCTTCCCCTACTCAATATAGCACATCAGCACGTGTAAGTGTCAGGACATCACTTGCGTCATTTAAATCATCTGTTTAGGATGGTAGTTTTGATGAGATATAAAGGGTGTCAAAACAACTGTTCAATTGATATGGTAATCAGATTCAAGTTGAAAAAGGCTTAATACCAGCGTAGCTTGTCAAATAAGCATGGGCTTTGCGACTCCCGTGTCTGAGGCAGCCATTTTGCACGTTGGCTCGTCGTGATATATAATTTGTCATTGTGGTCGACCTGAAGATCAATGCACTCCTGCACATAGCATTCAAACATCCTATTCTCGTGTGCATGCATTGCAACTACATGGTTGAGAAGGGGATGGCGGCTTGAGCTTGTAAAGAGTGATAAACACTTACAGTGTGCATGTGCTCTAATTAATAGACGATGGAACACTGAGGCGACTGGTTACCTCCCTTTCGTAAATATTCTGGAACTTCTATTTTTTGTATTGGAAATATTAACCCTGTCAATTCAGGGCGTAAGAAATTAGTCATTAGACTCATTGTGATGTTCCTCTCCACGGAAATCTTTAGTAAAAGGCGAAAGATTTATCCGAATGGATGAAGAGAAACCAGAGTTAATGTTACAGGCGCCTGTCTTCCCCTACTCAATATAGCACATCAGCACGTGTAAGTGTCAGGACATCACTTGCGTCATTTAAATCATCTGTTTAGGATGGTAGTTTTGATGAGATATAAAGGGTGTCAAAACAACTGTTCAATTGATATGGTAATCAGATTCAATTTGAAAAAGGCTTAATACCAGCGTAGCTTGTCAAATAAGCATGGGCTTTGCGACTCCCGTGTCTGAGGCAGCCATTTTGCACGTTGGCTCGTCGTGATATATAATTTGTCATTGTGGTCGACCTGAAGATCAATGCACTCCTGCACATAGCATTCAAACATCCTATTCTCGTGTGCATGCATTGCAACTACATGGTTGAGAAGGGGATGGCGGCTTGAGCTTGTAAAGAGTGATAAACACTTACAGTGTGCATGTGCTCTAATTAATAGACGATGGAACACTGAGGCGACTGGTTACCTCCCTTTCGTAAATATTCTGGAACTTCTATTTTTGTATTGGAAATATTAACCCTGTCAATTCAGGGTGTAAGAAATTAGTCATTAGACTCATTGTGATGTTCCTCTCCACGGAAATCTTTAGTAAAAGGCGAAAGATTTATCCGAATGGATGAAGAGAAACCAGAGTTAATGTTACAGGCGCCTGTCTTCCCCTACTCAATATAGCACATCAGCACGTGTAAGTGTCAGGACATCACTTGCGTCATTTAAATCATCTGTTTAGGATGGTAGTTTTGATGAGATATAAAGGGTGTCAAAACAACTGTTCAATTGATATGGTAATCAGATTCAAGTTGAAAAAGGCTTAATACCAGCGTAGCTTGTCAAATAAGCATGGGCTTTGCGACTCCCGTGTCTGAGGCAGCCATTTTGCACGTTGGCTCGTCGTGATATATAATTTGTCATTGTGGTCGACCTGAAGATCAATGCACTCCTGCACATAGCATTCAAACATCCTATTCTCGTGTGCATGCATTGCAACTACATGGTTGAGAAGGGGATGGCGGCTTGAGCTTGTAAAGAGTGATAAACACTTACAGTGTGCATGTGCTCTAATTAAAAGACAATGGAACACTGAGGCGACTGGTTACCTCCCTTTCGTAAATATTCTGGAACTTCTATTTTTTGTATTGGAAATATTAACCCTGTCAATTCAGGGCGTAAGAAATTAGTCATTAGACTCATTGTGATGTTCTCTCCACGGAAATCTTTAGTAAAAGGCGAAAGATTTATCCGAATGGATGAAGAGAAACCAGAGTTAATGTTACAGGCGCCTGTCTTCCCCTACTCAATATAGCACATCAGCACGTGTAAGTGTCAGGACATCACTTGCGTCATTTAAATCATCTGTTTAGGATGGTAGTTTTGATGAGATATAAAGGGTGTCAAAACAACTGTTCAATTGATATGGTAATCAGATTCAAGTTGAAAAGGCTTAATACCAGCGTAGCTTGTCAAATAAGCATGGGCTTTGCGACTCCCGTGTCTGAGGCAGCCATTTTGCACGTTGGCTCGTCGTGATATATAATTTGTCATTGTGGTCGACCTGAAGATCAATGCACTCCTGCACATAGCATTCAAACATCCTATTCTCGTGTGCATGCATTGCAACTACATGGTTGAGAAGGGGATGGCGGCTTGAGCTTGTAAAGAGTGATAAACACTTACAGTGTGCATGTGCTCTAATTAATAGACAATGGAACACTGAGGCGACTGGTTACCTCCCTTTCGTAAATATTCTGGAACTTCTATTTTTGTATTGGAAATATTAACCCTGTCAATTCAGGGCGTAAGAAATTAGTCATTAGACTCATTGTGATGTTCCTCTCCACGGAAATCTTTAGTAAAAGGCGAAAGATTTATCCGAATGGATGAAGAGAAACCAGAGTTAATGTTACAGGCGCCTGTCTTCCCCTACTCAATATAGCACATCAGCACGTGTAAGTGTCAGGACATCACTTGCGTCATTTAAATCATCTGTTTAGGATGGTAGTTTTGATGAGATATAAAGGGTGTCAAAACAACTGTTCAATTGATATGGTAATCAGATTCAAGTTGAAAAGGCTTAATACCAGCGTAGCTTGTCAAATAAGCATGGGCTTTGCGACTCCCGTGTCTGAGGCAGCCATTTTGCACGTTGGCTCGTCGTGATATATAATTTGTCATTGTGGTCGACCTGAAGATCAATGCACTCCTGCACATAGCATTCAAACATCCTATTCTCGTGTGCATGCATTGCAACTACATGGTTGAGAAGGGGATGGCGGC